GTGTGGCTAAAGAAATGCTATATTAGCACACACCCTCACCCTGAAGCGAGACGGAAAGACAGAAGTCATGAGGCAGAGCTCGCGGGCATCAAAATTTCCTGCCTCGCACATCTTTGATATGTGTATCCCCTCAAAATCTCATGGGATATTATTCGAAATGATATCATTCACATCCATGCATGTTCCATTCAATAGTAATGTTTAAGATGCAAGAATTTAAAGTAGGAATGATAAGATTTCCGAGATCCTTCATAAGCTTGACGTTTGAACTAATTCAGATTCCAACACGGATTAATTCAGATTGTAACCTAGGGTGAACTTAGAACGTGCATGAATGTGGCAGTTGGTGGAATATGTTATGGGTGTGTAAAAACAAAACTTACAATCACCTTCACACACTCGACTTTATTCGAAGATCAAGAAGAAATGTGGTATGTATCGTTGTGCAAAACAAATCGAGCTCTATCGATTGGTACCTAAATTAATTTGAATAGTGAAGAGATTTCCATTTAAAAATTGACAAAAAGTGATAGGTCAGTTTTTGCAAATTTTTATGAGCATGGTTAGCGCTGCCTCGATTCGATCCATCCTAGCCGACCAAAAGTAGATCTTTAGCCCATAATACTTTAAACTATTCGATGGTTTACAAAGGTCTAACTTCTTATAGGGTCGAGTTTAAAATCTGTTCATCACCATACTTTCGCTATCGCTGACTTTTTCATTCAACGTTTTCTTTAATACAGATTTTCGCTTCTAGTTTATCTTCCGTTCCACGACAATGGAAAAAAATGTCGAAAAGACGTATTTTTTACTGACTTCATCAATTTATTTTCATTTTAATGGTCTCAATTGTTATGACTGCTTCTGATTTCTACTATTGTTTCTTCTGATTAGTGCTACATAGCAATGAATACAATTCTATGGAATAGAAAAACAAATATCGCATTTGTTAGTCTAATTTTCTAGTCTTCATTGATGAATTCGATCATCGGTATTCTTTCTTTCTGAAAATGAGAATATTAACTATCTTTCGAAGTAGAGCGAAAAAAAACCAATTATGCTAGCAGTCTACTTACGTTCAAAGTCGGCTTTCAACCTTTGATGATTGTATTGGTTTGTTAAATGATTGAGTGTGTTGTATATGAATTGCCGTTGGAAAGTCGGCGGATTGTTTTAACTGATAATTTTCTCAAGTGTTTGCTTTCTCATGATGTTACTTACCTGCGCTTTTTTCCAACTTATGTCTGCACTTTGGCTTCCACGTGGTGAGTAACGACAGATTTCTACCATAAAATAAAATTAGGTAAGAGAACGGAGGAAAGAACGGAAGAAAAAGAACAACATTAGTCATGACAAACATTATAAAAGCCATTAAAATTCCTTGAAGTTTTTCCCACTGATAGAGTCAATTTCGAGAAACATCTTCATGTCATACTGATTCACTAACCAATCTAACGTACTTCCAATCCTAAAGTGTGAACAGTTTTCAATATGACTCAACGTATTTTTTTGCGCTTTTACTTAAGATTCATCTTTCCTTCATGTCAATAGAGGCAAAATCAAAGAAACAACAAAAAGGCAGGCAGTGGGTGAGGAAGAAACTGAGTGATGCAGTCAATAGTATTGACTCATTTCGATTAAAAAACAACATTAAGAAACACGTGATGAAAAATAACCGAAAAAAAACGGATGTGCGATGTGAATGTTGGTAAAACAATCAAAAACAGACGGGCCTGTCTGTTGCAAAAAAAGACAAAGCCAATTTGCTAGTCCCAACCTTTGCTTTTCAGCAATCGATTTCTTGTCGAAGTAATTGGAATTGTAGGATCAGTCATCCTATTCCGCGATGTTGAACATTGCAGGAATCAGTTCCGCCCTCGGAATCAATTTCACCAATTCCGGAATTCCGCTTTTTAAGTGCGATCCCAATTCCTAGCAATTCCGTTCAATTCCAGAATTCAGCAATTTTGGGAACTCACTCCGGCCGCAATCAGTTCCTGCAATTCCGGAGTTGCCTGGAATTCCCAGGAATTCTGTCCAATTCCGCTTCGACCTAATTCCCGGAACTCCGTTCAATTTCATTTCGACCTAATTCCGGGAATTCCGTCCGATTTCGCGTCGACCTAATTCGGAATTCCGTCCAATTCCACTTCGACCTAATTCCGGGAATTCCGTCCAATTCCGCTTCGACCTAATTCCCGGAATTCCGTCGCGGAATTGATAACTTGTTTTAATGATTATTCTTCAGCCAAACAGCCCAACATGAGGATGAGGGCAGAGTGTAATTTCGCAAGGGTGTGGGTGTGGGTGTGGGTGGTGGGTGTGGGGTGTGGGGTGTGGGTGTGGGGTGTGGGTATGGGTGTGAATATCGCCTTCGTTCACATCCCCACCCACATCTATGCCCCACACCCTCACACCCACACCCACACCCACACCCACACCCACCCACACCCACACCCACACCCCA